AGGGCACTCACTCTAGCCTGGGCAACAGAGCGAGACTCCAAAAAACAAAAAAGGGAGTTGACAGAGACCGTGTTTCTTATCTGTTCCAGGTGTGGGGACCCGTCCACAGGCTCACCTCTCCTGACTCGAGAGAGGCACCGGCATCACCTCAAAGCCTGCCTGGATGCCCTCGGCCACTACAAGCAGTCTAAAGACCTGGCCCTGGCGGCCGAGGCCCTGCGTGTGGCCCGGGGCCACCTGACCTGCCTCACAGGTGGAGGGGGGACCGAGGAGGTCCTGGACATCATCTTCCGGGACTTCTGCGTGGGCAAGTGAGGGGGCTGCCTCGGGGGGTCTGGGAGCAGCTCGGCCCGGATGGGGTTCCCGGTCACTCAAGGAAGAACCTGATTCCAAAATGGTGACGCAGGCCAGGTGCGGTGGCTCACGCCTGTAATCCCAGCACTTTGGGGAGGCTGAGGTGGGAGGATGGTTTCAGGCCAGGAGTTCAAGACCAGGCTGGGCAACATAGCAAGACCCCATCTCTACAGAAAATAGAAAAATGGGCATGGTGGTGCCTGCCTGTACTTCCTAACTACTCGGGAGGCTGAGGCAGGAGGATCACTTGAGTCTGGGAGTTGGAGGCTGCAGTGAGCTGTGGTCGTGGCACTGCACTCTAGCCTGGGTGACAGAACAAGACCCTGTCTCAAAACAAAGACAAAACAGAGAAGCAGAGCAACTGCCTTCAGGGGTCGTGAGCTCCCGGCAGGGGACTTGATAGAGATTCAGGCCCTGGAGTGGGGCTGCATGGAGGTCACTCCGGGCACCAGATGCCAGGAGACCTGAGTGAGACGGAGATTGGAAGATCTCAGGGGTTTTTGCATCCTTGTTTTTAATTTATTTTGCAAATACCAAAGGGATGTATAAAACTCAGGTGATTCAGAATTGTTTTAATGTGGAAATCTCCCTTATCCCCTCTCCTGGGGTCATGGTTTATGTGTCTTTCCAGAACTTTCTCAGCACATTTACATCCTTGTGGGTGCACCTATCAAATATATGTTTGTCTTGTATCATGTATATAAATTGTGTTATTGGCCTAAAAGTTGTCGTTTCTTTTTCCTTTTTTAGTATTAGTCTTGATATTTTGTCTCTTTTTAAAATTTTATCTTTTCTCTCTCTCTTATTTTTTAAGAAATGGGGTCTTGCTATGTTGCCCAGGCTGGTCTCCAACTCCTGGGCTTAAGCAGTCCTCATGCCTCAGCCTCTTGAGTTGCTGGGACTGTAGGCACACACTACCATGCCTGGCTAATTTTTCTTGTTTTTTTTGTAGAGACGGGACCTTGCTCTGTTGCCCAGGCTGGAGTGCAGTGGTGTGATCACAGCTCACTGCAGCCTCCAACTCCTGGGCTCAAGCAGTCCTCCTGCCTCAGCCTCCCAAGTAGCTGGGACTAGGCATGCACTGCTGGCCCTGGTAACATTTTGCATCCTGTGTCTTAAAAGTGACTTGCAGGCCAGGCGCAGCGGCTCACGCCTGTCATCCCAGCACTCTGGGAGGCCTCGGCAGGTGGATTGCTCGAGGTCAGGAGTTCGAAACCAGCCTGAGCAAGAGCGAGACCTCGTCTCTACTATAAATACAAAGAAATTAATTGGCAAACTAAAAATATATATACAAAAAAAAAAATTAGCCGGGCATGGTGGCGCATGCCTGTAGTCCCAGCTACTCGGGAGGCTGAGGCAGGAGGATCGCTTGAGCCCAGGAGTCTGAGGTTGCTGTGAGCGAGGCTGACGCCACGGCACTCACTCCAGCCTGGGCAACAGAGCGAGACTCTGTCTCAAAAAAAAAAGTGACTTGCAAAATCCACAGGCCCTACTCCCTGCACAAGCTCAATCTTCATTCATTCACTCAGCGACCGTTTACCAAACCCTTGCGAAGAGCGGGCATCGCACACGTGACTGTTGCCTCTTCGCAGGAGCTTACGCTGCCGTGGGCGCTTTGTTCCAGTGCTACAGATGAGGAAACTGAGGCTCAGAACAGCAGTCACTTGCCGGAGGGGCCCCAGCTTCGGGGTTTGAACACGAGTCTGTCTGAACCCAAATTTGAGTTTGCCGAGGGCCCCTTGTGCATGTTGCTGGGGACACCAGGGGGGACCGTGGGCCACGGTCCCTGCCCTTGTTAGCGGAGACACAGAGATCATTACAGTGAGGTCTGATGGCTGCCGTGTGAGTTTAGGACGAGGAGCCCCGGGGGGTGGGCTGCCTGGAGGAGGTGACGTTTGTGCTGAGATGTGAGTGGTGAGAAGGGGGGAGCCAGATGGAGGAGGCTGGGGAGAGTGTCCGAGAGGGAGGACAGCGCACGTGCAAAGGCCCTGGGGTGGGAGCGTCGTGGCGCGTTCGCAGGGCAGTGGGGTGGCCGGTGTGGCTGGAGGAGTGGAGGAGGAGGAGGTGATGAAGAGACAGCGGGACCGAGGGCAGGGCAGGCAGGTGTCCTAGACAATCCTGCAGCCTGACATGGCGGTGGCCGGCCAGCAGGGGGCACTGTGCCCCAGCGCAGGTGGCTCCTGGCGCCCCGCAGAGCCCGGGTGTTCTCCCCTTGCAGGGCGGACCCAGGCCTCGGCGCCCCACCTGGCGGCGTGTGCATGCCTCTCGCCCCTGGGCGGAGGCAGAAACCGAGCCCTCAGCACCGTCAGGATCTTTCCAAGACTCTGGAAAGAAGATCTCCACCCCCAGTGGTTGGATTTGCACGCCGTCCGGTTTCACGGGGGCACCAGGGCCGACAAAAGGGCACGGACTGGGTCGGAAGGGGGCCCCAGAATTTCCTGGCCACCCCACCAACGGGGACCCCCGGCTCCTGCTGGTTCACAGGCTTTGGGGTGCGTGTGTCCGTTCGGGGAGATAGTCACGCCAGGAGCTGGGGGCACGGGCACCATGGCGTGCAGGGCCCAGCTTGCAGAAAAACCAAGGGTGCGCGGAGGAGAGCCGTGCTGTGGGCCCAGCAGGGGCCGGGCAGGGAGGCTCCCGGGAGGGACAGGCAGGGCCCGGGCCCCGCGGGGCACAGGGACGCTCTTCAGGCCAGACGCCCGGGGCCCTGGCGCACAGCTGGGCTCGGGTCCTTGGCCAGCGTCCCTTTTTTCCAAGAAGGGTGAGGCGGTTTGTGGGAAGCCGCCATGCGTGGGGGTTATTTATAGAGGTGGCAGGAAATCCCCAGCGAGTCACCGGCGCACCAGGCGGGGGGACCTCAGGGTCAGGGAGGGGCCTGGTCGGCCAGTCTGCAACCCCCCCAACCCCGGGGACCCGCCCGTCCCGGAGAGCCAGAGCTCCAGCCAGGGTCAGGCCTGGAAAGAGGGAGGGGCGAGGCAGGGGGTCCCACAGGAGGACCCCGGGCTACATCTGTCCCATCCAGGAAGGCTGCCTGGAGGAAGGGACCTCTGGAGTTGGGCCCCGGAGGAGGAAGAGTTTGTCAGGCAAGAAAAAGATGTTCTAGGCCGGGCGCGGTGGCTCACGCCTGTAATCCTAGCTCTCTGAGAGGCCGAGGCAGGAGGATTGCTCAAGGTCAGGAGTTCAAAACCAGCCTGAGCAAGAGCTAGACCCCGTCTCTACTACAAATACAAAGAAATTAATTGGCCAACTAATATATATATAAAAAATTAGCCGGGCATGGTGGCGCATGCCTGTAGTCCCAGCTACTCGGGAGGCTGAGGCAGGAGGATCGCTTGAGCCCAGGAGTCTGAGGTTGCTGTGAGCGAGGCTGACGCCACGGCACTCACTCTAGCCTGGGCAACAAAGCGAGACTCTGTCTCAAAAAAAAAGAAAAAAAGATAAAGACGTTCTAGTCTGAAGGCACAGCACACATGAAGGCTTGGTGAGCCTTTTGTCGGAGAATGACACGTCCAGGACAGCTGGAGGCAAGAGCTTGCACTGTGACTGTGTGCGGTTTTTTTTTGGGGGGGGAGCTAGACTTTGTTCTAAGGGCAATGGGGAGCCACGGAGGGTGTGTGAGCGGGAGAGGGGCTCATGACACCCATTTCTTGGATGGGGCAAACAGAGTCTGGGATTGACTGAGCCAAGCTTCAAACCCAGGGATGGTTGGTTCTAGAACCCCAAGTCAGGGCTCGTGTGGCTGCCGGGGGGACCGGCCGGCATGAGGACTCCGGGCCGCCCAGACAGTAGGCCCAGGGTCAGGGACGTCCCTGCTTCCTTGGGGCCTCTGGCCCAGCCCGTCTGGGCAGTCTGGCGGGGTGACCCCCCTGGCCCGGCCCGGCGGGGCCCCAGCCGAGTGTTTCCTGCAGTGGCCGGCTCTCACCCGCGCTTCCGCATCCCGGAAATATCGCTCCTTTGTCCCGCCAGACAAGCCTTCCCTAAGCGTGGCGCTGCCAGCCCTGGCTCCTCGTGACTCATCCCTGCCTGCCCGGCGTCCCCGGGGACGGGCTGGGAAGGCATCAAGGGGGTGCGGGCGGCACAAGCTGAGACTCTAGAAAACAATTTTTAGGCAGCCTTTCCCGCCACGGCCATTTGCTTAACGCCCTGGAGTTTTTACTTTTCAGGGGCAACGTCCTGGGAATGGGGTTGCTGAGCCAAAGGGTTTGGGCATATTTAATTTTAATATACTAGAGAAAAAATGAGCCGGGGCATGGTGGCGCATGCCTGTAGTCCCAGCTACTCGGGAGGCTGAGGCAGGAGGATTGCTTGAGCCCAGGAGTCTGAGGTTGCTGGAGCGAGGCTGAGCCACGGCACTTAGTCCAGCAACAGTGAGACTCTGTCTCAAAAAAAAAATAAAAAAATAAAAAAAAAAAAAAAGAAGCAGACATCCATTTGTAGCTTTGGCTTTTCTCGGTTTGCAAAGAATTCCCCAGGTATCGAGAACAATTTCTGAGGAAACACAGCCCTAGTGAATTGCAGGAATTCCTCCTCATCAGAATGAGTCTCGGAGTAACATCACAAACAGCCCGGGCCAGTTGTTTTGTTCTTGTGGTGCCACGAGATTCCAGAAAAGGCACCAGTGTCCGTTTGGGGAGCAGCCAGGGAGAAGCAAACTGGAGGAATGCAAGGAAAACACACTGCACCCAACCGGCTGGGGTGGGAAACAATTTAAAACTGGGGTGTTAACGCCGTACACGCAGTGCTGGTGAAGATGTGGAGAAAAGAGCGTTTTCCAACAGGACTGGTAGAAATGCAAATCCTACCGTGGCCCTTCCAGAAACTACTTTGGCATCACGTAATAAAATTAAATATGCCCAAGGCCGGGCGCGGTGGCTCACGCGTCATCCTAGCACTCTGGGAGGCCGAGGCGGGAGGATCGCTCAAGATCAGGAGTTCGAGACCAGCCTGAGCAAGAGTGAGACCCCGTCCCTACTACAAATAGAAAGAAATTAATTGGCCAACTAATATATATAGAAGACATGAGCCGGGCGTGGTGGCGCATGCCTGTAGTCCCAGCTACTCGGGAGGCTGAGGCAGGAGGATCGCTTGAGCCCAGGAGTCTGAGGTTGCTGTGAGCGAGGCTGACGCCACGGCACTCCGCTCTAGCCTGGGCTACACGGTGAGACTCTGTCCTCAAAAAAAAAAAA